GTTCTCGTGCAACTTGCGCCGTGAACCGCCGTGGAGACCGCTCAACCTCCTGTAGGGATGCAGGGGTTGTGGGGTTGAGGGCTATATTTCTTTTAGGGGTATATTAGGGTTGTTTTGGGGTTATATTAAGCTTACTTTAGGGTTTGATAGGGCTTTGGGGTGTAGGGCTTTTTGGGTTTTAGGGTTGGATTGGGTTTAGGGTCTCAAGGTTGTAGCGCTGTAGGGGTTTAGGGCTTACTCTCCGGGACCTTGGGGTTAGGTTGTATAGTATATCCCCTTAATAGGCCTATGAGAACCCAATGGTAACCCTTATAAACAGGTTCCCTACCGCTTCGCAACCTCACGGTCCCATATGGGGGTTCCACTGAAGAACTAGCAGCTAAAAGCACATCAGGACCAAAAGCTTGGAGCAGTGCAGGTTCCAGAGCTTAGGGTTTACCTTAGACCCCAAAAATTCTTCAGTTTTAGGATGTCATGTAAATAATTTTATGATAGGGTCCCAAAACTGAAGGTCTTTTGGGTCTAAGGCAAGGTTTAGGCTGTAGGGTTTAGGTGTATGAGGACAAAAATGTAGCGCTCATCACTGGACCTCTAGGCTTCAGCCTGTTCTGTGCCTGTATACGAAGATATCGACATGAGTGTATAGTCCCCCTTGAGTAGATCGAATATGGGGTATATGGGGATCTTACTATACACCGTGTGCATGTATGTTGTACCCTCTAGCGCTTGGGCTCTACAGTTGCCGTTTGTACTTGGCTCGTACAGATATCTATGAAGTATACATCTATATGTACATATCTATACATTCATAAGTGTACATGTAGGTCAATGTATGTTTCACTGCCTAAGTCAGGTTGTTCTAGAATCTAGCTTAAGTATAACCGCCTAAGCAGACATGCAAGGAGGTTGCTCAACGATTTCTGAAATGGGAGTGCACATCAAAATAGAAAGAAACCGATGTGGCCATGTTAGAGGCGCGCAAGTGTTGAAGTTGAAAAGCACAACGGATCGTAATCAGGAGTTTGACTTTTGATTTCCTTGGGGGTGTAGAGGTAGTCTAAGGTCCTGAGGCTTTTGGCTGAGGTTGGGGTATGGGGTGTAGGGACATCGGAGCCACCATCAAAAAGCAGAGTTGCTCCATCAAGCTGGGATGCAGCGCTTAGGGTTTAGGATTGATGGCGCGGGGCCTTCTCAAAGCATGTGGCCTTTCGGAAGCTCCTGATATACAGATCCCGACCTTCTTAGAATGCATACGGGATGCAAGCTTTGACGAACACCTACAAAAAGTTGAGAAAAATGAAATCGCTAGAAGGTGAAGACCCCGTCCTTCATGAAATGCTTGATGTTGTCCAAGTGATATTCATGCATCAATCGGTTGGGTGGAAAAGAAGCCGTCCCGTCTGCAATCTCCACATCAGGAAAAGTATGAGAAAAATATGACTTGCGTGACTCTTTGGAAGCTGCTCTGGATGTCACGGATCTGTGCGATTCTTTGGATGCCGCCCTTGCTGCCTTTGATTTGATGGAATCTTTGGACACCATTCCTGACCAACGCATACTTGGGAATGGGGACATGGATGCTCCCATTTTAGGGTTCGGGTTTAGGGAGAAGCCCTCATACTTTACGACTTCCCACGTTCGCGCTTTCCCAACCATTTGTAAGCTCTTTTGACTTAAAAATTCACGTGCTGTCCCCAACAACGCCAGTTATAATCAATCACATAACCCCCATTACAAAGTAGACTTCTCAAGTCAATAGAGCCCCTAAGAAGGAACATGCTGCATCAAAACCTTACCCCTGTATAACCGCTCAAAATAACTCCCGCGGAACCACCTTACAACCCTTTTATTAACTCCATATGGGGCTTGGCCTAAATTCCTGCTGCCAATGGGGGAATTTCATGTAGAGACTCGTTTTGTAATAGGACCCCGCGCTATGGCGACCCGTATTTCAATGAATGCACGGGAATCCCCATATGCATAAGGGAACCTAAATCTTGAAGCCTACGCCCTAAGCAATCCAACCTAAAGCCAGATTCTGGATGGCGCCCTAAGCTCCTAAACAATCTAACCTAAACGCAGAGTCTGGATGGCGCCCTAAACCCCACACAATCAAACCTGAACCCTAAACTTTAAATCTTAAACCCTAAACCCTAAATCCTAAACCCTGAGCCCTAAATTTTGCCCCCCAAATCCTAAACCCTTAGCCCTAAGCCCTAAGCCCCAGGGTCTGGTTGGCATGCCCACAAGGGAGGTAACGGTGGCGGCTCGCATCCAGCTCGGCTCAAACTCCGGTTCCGCGGACACGAAAGCCTTCGGCTGAGATGTCGGAGAGACCTGCGGGGTTGGGTTTGCTTTTCGGATTTAGGGTTTAGGGTTTAGGGTTCAGGGTTTAGGACTGGGACTTTGGGATTTGGGGTATGAGGCTGAGGGTTCAGGGTTCAGGTTTTAGGGTTTGTGGTTCAGGGTTCAGGGTTTTAGGTTGCGTGCTGCGCCCACTCAGTAACCATCTATCATAGGGGTAATCCTAATTCAATATTATCCAACGGTTACTTGAGGGGGGGGGCAGTCTCCAGAGTACCCTAAACCCTAAACCCTAAACTGCGTTGAAGGTTTCCGCGGCTGTGGTCTCTGCTGAAAAACTGAGGCTTCAGGGCTCAGGGTTGAGGATCGAGGATTCCTGCCTTACAGGGTTGAGGATTTCGGTTCTAAGGTTGAGGACTCAGAGTGTACCTTTGGGTTTAGGGTTTGGGGTATACTCTATAATCAATTTTAATGTATAACATAATAACAGAAATATATATATATATACCTGAACCCCCAAGAAGAGTATGTAGAATAATGGCCTTCCGGGATATTCTTAAGGGCTTTGGGCTTTGGGCTATTATCTTACCTACTTTTGGGGTCCGGGTGGAGGGTTTGGGATTCAGGTTTTACGCTTTCGATTTGAGCATTCGGGGTTCAGGCTGTGCACATGTGCTGTGCAGAGGACCCATAAACCCCATAATCAACGAATATGCTCTACATGATACTAAGGTTTTCTAAGTATGACTCAACACATATGAGCCATAATCTAAACTCCGAGTGTCCCCTTGATAGCCCCCGTAGTAGTCTCCTATATAATGCCCTATATAACCCCCCTTTAAGGAGTTTAGACTATAGCTGATATGGGTTATTCGGTAGCCTATCAAATCGGAGTTGGGGCTCAACAATTATCGTAGGTTAGGGGCTTAAGGGTTTCAATTCAGGATTCATGTCTCTTCCCAAGACTCAAAACTCGAAGGTGGAGAGCTTGCGGCTTGGGGTTTAGGAGAAACGTCTTCAGGCCTTAAATATAAGCCCAAATAACCAGAACCGAATTATGGTACGGGATATTGTACATGTCCACATGGGCTACACGACATCAAATTCTTAAGTTCATGACGTGAGGGCTGTTGTCCCCCAGCCCTAGATCCAAATTTCAGAACACCTTTCGTATCCGGCCTTAACCCCAAAACCTAAGAGCAACAAGAGAACCCTAAGTTTCCAAAACCACCATGCACTTCTGCATATTACCTGGACCCCCAACAGTAGGTAAAATAATCGCCAAAATTCCCCTAAATGGCCCAAAAAGCCATTGTTCTGCATACTGTTGGGGTTTAGATATATTATACTTTTAACAGTGAACCCCAAACCCTTTCCGTACCCTGGCGACCTGGTTTAGCGAATCAACATCCATGGGGGCAGCTTCAGGTTTGCCAGGTAGCGGCAACCTGCTCAGCGCGTCAAATTGCGACGGGCCACTCAAAGAGTTCATGCTGCACCAGGACCCTGCGGACTCTACCTAAACCCTAAACTCTACCTGTTGAGGTTACCATTCCCCAAAGAGGGATTCCTAAAAAACACTGCAATTCTTGCGATATTTAGGAATTGCTAAGGGCACCGCCCCAAAAGAATTCCAGAAACTTTACGCATTCCCATAGAGTTCCGCAGGGTCCAGAAAAGAAAAGGTCAGAAAGAAAAGCCGATGCCTTGAGCCTGCAAAGATTTAGGGTTTAGGGCCAGGTTTCAGGGTGGGCTTCAGATGTACCCAAAGAGCTCAGTTCACCTTACTCCAGGAATATGCTACATGATGCTAGGATCCCTGATGTGGTTTACAGTATATATTCCTGGAAGCGTACTATAGGGCCCGGAACCCTAAACCCTAAAACCTACGGATTTGGGGCTTTAGGTTTAGAATGTTGGCTTTTGAAAACTTGAGCTCAGGGTGAGAGTGGGGTTCAGGGTTCGGGATTTATTGTGTGTTTAGGGTTTAGAGTTCAGGGTTTAGGCTTCCATTTCAGGGTTTGGGGCCTAGGTGTAGGGTGGTAACGCTCAAATTTGGAAGCTGTTGCATGGGCAAGGGAACCCCCAAAACCTAAACCCTGGACCCCAAACCCTAAACCATACAAGGGACCCCCCCAAAACAAAACAATCATAAGCCCTAAATGTGTAGTCCTTGCAAAACTTTGAGATATGCAGCTTCGAGATATGATGGCCTTTACAAAAGTCAGATCTCACGGCTGCGACGAAAAAATACTCTTCATTTCCCCTGCAGCTTAAAACACGGTTTAGGGTTGAGGGATATCCCCCGCATCTTTTTTTGCAGCATAGACCAGAGGGAAGCTAAAGGGCAAGAACATGAACCCTAAACCCTAAACCCTAGACCAAATCCTGCACCATCAACTCCTTCACCTTTAGAGCCCTAACCTGGTCCATCAGTGCTTAGGGATAATGGAAAAGAAGCATGGAAACTACGATGATGGGGTTATTTAGGGTTTAGGGTTTAGGGTTTGGGGTTTAGGATGTCCATCTTCTTGGCTTCCTTGGGGGGATAAGTAGATCTCATGCAGGAAGCAACAACCCACAACCTCTCAATCCTAATCCCTAGCCCAGCTGATCCCCAAGACCTCCTTCCGTTTTGAGGTCTTTGGCTGTTTGGGCAGGTAATGGTGTCGCACCCAAGACCCTAAGAGCCCGACAAAGCATGCTGGAACAAGATCTCGAGGCCGCAACGCGGCTCGATCCTGTTTCATGACCTACGACCCTCTACAAAATCCCAGAACGTAAGTAGTTTATGATGACATGTAGAGCTTAAAGAGGGGGGGCTGGGGTTTAGGGAGATTAGATTCGCGACAAATTAGGGGGTGTAGGCTTTAGAGCCAAATGCCCCACCTTAAACCCTAATCCCTAAACCCTAACCCCTAAACCCTACAAATCCCTAAGCCCTAATCCCTAAACCCTAACCCCTAAACCCTAGTACTGGGCTCATGTTGGACCACTTCAGAGGGTCTGGTTGCAAGTTTCTACCTTGGAGGGCTCAAGGTTCTCAATAGGGTTTAGGGTTTAGGGGTTTAGGGTTTAGGGGATTACCTGAACACCCAAAAACATGTAGAATAATAGTGCGTTTTGGGCTATTGTTTTACCTACTGTTGGGGTTGAGGTAAACCTCAAACAGAACCATTGGAGGCTTAGATCTTCCACAATCCTTACATGTGGAATATGAAGTATACTAGGACTAGCTCTTCCGACTTGCAACCCGAATCCCTAAATGCCCTGAAACTAGAACCTAACCTTGACCTAGGGTTTAGGGTTTAGGTTTCTTGAAGAAAGAACCATTCGGCAGAAGTTCTGGGAGGCATTAGGTTGCGGAGCACTGGCCTCAAAGTCGGGACTCTTACATCAGAGTGATATGTTGGGAACAAGGTTTAAGGTTTCCTCGAAGTTGGGTTCTGCAAGGGAATTTAGGGGCATATGGGGAGCAATCCCCTACACTTAATATTAAAACTCCACACCGCCCTATTACTTATTATTTCTATTGAGGTATACAATAAGATATTGGGAATATTTATTGTCAGGGGGTGAGGGTATCAATAGTAGGGGAGGGGATTATATGAGCCAGTGGAGCCATAGTCTGGGCTCCTTCTAGTATTTCCCTGAAAGACCGCCAGAATTCTTCTCCCAATATAATCCCTTACATAACTCTATTTAAGGAGTTTAGACTATAGCTCATATGGAGATCATAGTGTTATTCTTGAGGGTTACATGGTCCTCTCTCTAAAGCTCTCTCAATGTGGCATGACAGAAAGTTTCGTAGCAACTAATTGACCAGAACACTAGGCGCGTACTTCTGCGAACAAGGTCTTGGCTAATTATGTAGCCTACGTCGCGACCGTGCAGATTTCCGGAGATTCATGGCTTACCACTATGGGCTGTTAGACCTTTAGGGTACCTTAATCTACCCTTAATACGGTCCTAATAGGGAATTTTAGGGTCTAATAGCCCATGAAGCATAGGAGGGAAGCGTAGCATACTTTTGGGCACATTCCATCCCTAAACCCTAAACCCTAAACCCTAAAATTCTTAAGGAGCTCGGGACCTCCCGGGTGGGAGCCAACATCATAAAGCCTTGCCTACAGGCCTGGAACGAAGGTCTTTCGCGCTTACAGTTTCAATTGCAGCAATGGGTCCTAAACCCATAGGGGTTTAGGGTTTAGGGGGTTTAGGGTTTAGGGTTTAGAGTTATAACCCTGGGGCTCCAAATGGCCATTATAGACATTGGGGCCCAATGTAGTTATTATTTATAGACATGGAGCCCAAGGGCAGCAATCCCTTTCAGTAATAAGACCCCTTTAACAACAGCTACTGACCCTAAACCCTAAACCCACTAAAGAGCAAAGGACCGAACCTACAAACTTCAATGCAAGTCCAGCTTTGGGTTTGCTCATGTTCGGCTCCAAAACCCTCCTAGGGTTTAGGGTTTAGGGTTTAGGCGGTACCCTACTCTAAATTAGGGATGCGGCCCCAGTAGTGGCTACCTAAGCTAAAAAAAGAGAGTAGGTGGAGGGTCTAGGTTGTTCCTGAAACCGCAGAGTACAAACACTCAAAGTGTGATCCTAGACCTCCAAACTGTAAACTCAACAGAACAGCTGAATGTGGGTTGTTCTCAAAATCATGGGCCGCTTTTGGGTGTAGAATATATTACGGCCCTGAATATTTAGGGCATCAAAATGGGACCCTCATTTTAGGAACTACCCCCAAACTTATAAACCTCTATATATTCCCAGTTTCCATTTAATTGTCCATTGTCTTTCCATTTTATTCTCTATTAATGGGGGTAATATCCCTAAACCCTAAACCCTAAACCCCACATGCTATTTGGAGGGTCCAGATTAGAATGCCTACCTGAACCTGTCTTAAGCCCCCGGCCCAACAGAAAGCTTCATCTGCTGGGTCTTAGGGCTATATGGCGACATATAGGTTTCAGGGTTTAGGGTTTAGAAGTCTAGGGGTTTAGGGCATAGCTCCGGAAATGTAAAACTTTGAACCGGCCCCTCATGAGTCGAACCTGGGGCCAAGCCCCCAAAGTGCAGAGACTCCCCAAGCATGAAATCTGGCACTGGATGTCTAAGTAAACTAACTTTCAAGCAAGTATAGCCCAACCAAAAGGGGCTTTGTCTAGGCATTGTGCCTTGAATGGGGAAGAATGGGTGGAATGCTATGTTCAGTGTGTGTTTGGGGGTTAGCAGGGCCTTGCCGCACCACCTTCTGTTGTAGCCCTAATCTCTAAAGCCCTGAACCCCTAAAACCTAACCTCTAAACACTACACTCTAAACCCCAAACCCCTGTCGTTTGATGACATCCTAAGAATAATAGTAGTTGCCATTCTCTTTTCCATTATCCCTATATAGTCCCAATATATTGGTTTATGGTATTAGTTTCAGGACCGAAGACAAAGGGGAGTTCCCCTGGAGTTGCTAACCAACAAGAAAGCAACCTTTGAGGGGGTCAAGGGCTCCTGATGGATGGTTTAAGTTTAGGGTTTAGGGCTTAGGATTTAGGGTTTAGGGTACTGGACCCCCAAAGTAGGTAGAATAATGGCCCCAAACCAACTAAAAATTGCACAAAAGGCCATTATTCTACATACTTTTGGGTTTCAGGTTTAGGGGGTACCTCTGCATTATTGCGTTGAGGACCAGGTCCACCTTCAAGACATACTAAGGATACTCAAGATACTTCCTGGAGGGTTATATTATGTGGGATTATATATATATATAATCTATTCCTTTACTGCATACTAAGACCAGTAAGAAGATGCTACATGACGTTACTATGCTAAACTTGCTTAACCCTAACTAAACCCTAAACCCTACACCTTATTATCTCCACCAGGTTTCTGGTTCCCAGGGTCATGCAGGATTGAATCACACCTGAACTATGGGTTGAGGCTCTGCTGGGACCTCAAAGGTATGTAGGTTTAGAGTTTAGGGCCCAAACATCCCGCCCAAATAACAACTTACTTTCGAGTTTAACATCTAAGGGTGTAATTGCACTGCAGAAGCCAACCAGAAGATCAGAAAGACGCCCCTCATGCGTTTTGGCAACTCCCAAAGAATGGCACGTAGTGCTCTGAAGATCTGCTCATGAATTAGGGGTTCAACTAGTACCCCCCTCTATACTACCCCCCCCTAGGTTCTCCCCGTAATTAAGGTTATTTAGGCAGAATCAGGCTTTAAGCTTAATTAAGGGGGACCCTAGGGGGGTGGTAGTATAGAGGGGGGTACTACTTGAACCCATGAAGAACCTGAAAAGCCGAGCCGTCAGCCAATACCCCATAGCTAAGGATATTTTTGAAATCAGATTAAATCCTAGTATCCTTTAAAGTTTACTTTTCCATTAAGGTGCACTGGGCTATCTGGGTAGAACTCTCAACCCTATAAGCATGCTATAAGCCCTATTCCTTCATCAAAATGTATTGGACTCTTCGAGTAAACTCCCCCCGCCTGTAGAGATTTGCTTCTGCCAGACGCGCCGTAGCTTCAGCCACCTCCACAACTTGCCTCGGCAAGAGGCTCAAGTTTCAGGATTTGAGTGCAACGTTGCAGGTCAAGGTCCAATTTTTAAGGATTACCTGAACCCCAAAAGCCCTATTTTGGCTCTCTTGAGCCGTTTTGAACCCTCAACCCTAAACCCAAGATGTCATCTACTTCTGAGGTCAAGGTAGGATTAGCGCTACGAGTAGAGTTTGGTTTAACCCTTGGGATTTCGGCTTTAGGCTTTCAGGATGAAGCTTTAGGGGTTCAGTGTCGTAGGGTTTAGGGGTTTAGGGTTTAGGGGTTTAGGGTTTAGGGTTCAGCGTCGTAGGGTTTAGGGTTCAGGGTTTAGGGTTATTGTTTAGGGTTTAGGGTTTAGGGGTTTAGGGGTTTAGGGGTTTAGGGGTTTAGGGTTTAGGGCATGGGGTTTCCAAGGTTCAAGCATCCCCATGCAAGCTTGCTACAATCAGCATCCGTATCCATGACCAAACATGTACGGCGAGGTCACGGAAGAATACCATACAAGGTTACACAAGTTTCTTTCAACCACTGAGACCTCCCACCTACCCTATATTTGGGCCACAGTACCCAACATTGTGGGCAATATCCTCAATCAAGGGTACTCAACGCTTAAACCCCAAATGAAATGGAGGTTTCCCTTTTCTTTTAATTTTCCTTTCCCCTACCTAGCCCCGCAACCCTAAACCTTAAACCTCCGAACCCTAAACCCTATTAAGAGTACTAGAGGGGCTCTTGGCAGGGACCCAGTCTTTGACAGCTGCCGTGCTTGGGGCGGGCATTCCGGCGGCAGCCAAATCACGAATGTAGGCCCCTGAGTAATAAACCCCCCCCCCTATTAGGATTATAATACTGATCCTAATATTCAGGCCCTTAAAGGGATGGGGTTTATTAATCA